CGGCTGTTAACAGTTAAGCTTCATGGATTTCTTAAAGTTCAACTCTGGGAAAAACGAGAAAACCACCTTTGTAGATAACCTATGTATCCAAGGGTGCACAAAGTGAGACCATAATGGTGGCTGTCAGTGACCCAAGTAACTAATATTAAATAATTACCTTTTCAATCATGACTGCAGCAAGCAAGCATATCTGTATTGAAAAGCTGAAGTCAGTCGCGTTTTTACACAGTTACATGCAGAAGAATTCTTCTGCATGTCTGTACACCGAAATATTCGGAGACAAGGTTTATCTGTATTATGCATATGCGCATGGAGGGTGGTGAAGTTCGGCGTAATTTTACTCCCTGATGTGACGAACAGCCACATCTTGCTAGCGCCAGCCGGTAGCATGAGGGTATAGCCGACGCCGGTATCATTGTTGCCTATGCGACCCGTTGTCACATTAAACGACACAAGCAACTGCCACGGCCTATCGGGGAGGAGTTTCGCGCCAGTGCTCACTGTTTGGCGTGCGTAATCATGCTAAGTACATTTAAATCTGCTGCAGGATATCTCGCAGCACAGACATTCTATATAGAAGAATTCTTCCACGTGTAACTGAATAAAAATGTGACTGCCTCCAAGTTTTGAATAGAGAAGTTCGGCAGATCTCACGTACCTTGGTAATCGATGTTATGCAAAGCATGCGGAATAAAGATGACCATGCTGTAATTTTTTTTTACTAAAACGACGCGTTATGAAATGACGCCTAATATATGTATAGATGTTGCACGCAATGAAAATTGCTGAAGAGTTGCAGACGTTCATTTATGCAACAGTGTGTGCGTTCTCATTCGTTCCTGGGTAGTGTCAATCACCGGTGGCACATACCCGCATACCAGTGGCACATATCCGCCCAGCGGTATGTTCAACCGTCTGGCAGGAAGTGTTTGACGACGTTCGCGACGGAATTGTGAGATTATTCATGTCTCAACCAGCGCGTCATATTCGTCAAACCATCTCACCCTCCTGTACTAATTTTGGTTTCTGCCAAATAAATATGTTGATTATGAGAGCTCCCGGACGTAAGCGACAAAAGTGCTTGCAGTAGGCAATTACTGCAGTTAGTGAAAAGTTAGTTAGACACATGTATAGTCTGAGCGTCACATGCCATTAAAACGCTACTTTCAGCCTTAAAAAAGCTTTAGAAAAAGCGTTGTACCATTACGACACAAAAAAGATTTAAATAAACATGCACACGAAAGCCAGTGCTGTGTTGGTAATCTCACGATGAGATGGAGAATAAAAAAAACTTTCAGCGCTAGTAGTTGAACCTCCTAATACGGAAGATCATTGGCTCTTGCTGCCATCCGGGCTTGGTTGACCAGGGCCTGTTGCTGTGCTGGGTCAGAGTTGGACAAGGTCACCTTCCACTCGACTATTGTGAGATTATGATTTGCCGATATACTGGCATTGTTCTGGCACTCTCAGGCCGTATGACTAATGTGGACATCTGGGGACAGAGTTTACACTTCGTGCTGATCGTACACAGCAGAATCCATCTTGGACAATTTATAATTGTTTGCAAAGGCAAATGATTGCAAACGTCGTCCTTCGATCTGCGTTACATTATCTAGTTTGGGATCAGGGGTGGCGAGGGGGTAGAGTGCGTCTACTCTGTATAGGAGAGGAAGGGCTGGGAATAATCCATTAATCCTGGTTAGAGAGAAGTTCTGCTGTGAATGAAGCAGCGGATACTCGGCGTAAGAGATCGCTGGTGGAGGCGTGATCAAGATCATTGCTTCAAAATTCTGTGTGCTCTATATCCATAGCAGTTGTATCCACTGACTTTCTTGACGAGTGGCCACAGCTTGTTGCAGGGTTGAATGTGCTAAGCGGCCAACTTGACCAATAGTGAAATCGCGATACGCCACCTGGGAATCCGTGAGGACAAAGGTGGCTTTGGTGACTCATGACTAAGGTGACTCATGACTAAGGCTATCCAGGCAACTTCCATGGATGCAATGTCTATTCAGGTAGCCGAGATGAAGTCTACAAACTGTCCCCTGTTAACCGCGGCTGCTGTGGCGCGGTTGTTCAGGAGTCTGGTGGCATTCATAAATAAGCCTTCTTCACAATCCGAATATTTGTTGTTTACTTTGGCTCTGGCAGCTCACCTGTTTTTTGTTTATTTTTGTGAACTGGGTGCATATTTCCTAGTAAAGACCAAATATAGACCTACTTCTGCCATTCTTTGGGTAGCGATAGTTTACTGATGACCTGCATTGGTGGATTTCAGCCGAAGGCGTCTAGAGTGGTGCGACCTGCTTTAGTACGTTGAACCGAATAAATTCGCTCATGTGATGAGCTTTGAAGAGCTTTGACGCTATATCATATATGTCCATCGCAAGCAATCAGTCACTCATGGCCCATGAGGGTCGATTGAAGACTTTCCATTGTGAACATGTAACGATAAACTCGTAACGTAAGACGCTATTCGTCCTAACTAAAAAAAAACGAATTTGCATCTCATCCGAACATTTCCTTTAATGTATCTGCTTATTGTTCAATATATCAGCCCTTGTCGGACTTTGTAGTGATATCAGTACTTGAAATAAATTTTCGAATGCCTATTTACAAACGTGGTACTTCTTGCACCTTCCTGAGCGCTATAGTTTGTGACTAATGTTTTTCCAGTCAGCTTGGTGTAATGGTCACGGATATAATACGGTCGGCGTTAGGCAAGCTTCTACCTTCTACTAACGAGACGTCGAAAAACAAGGAACGTGGTAGTTTGTGTCGACTACAGCGTCTCTACTCCTCCAGCGCTGCTTTTGGAGAATCCCGTGTCTTCGATGAATATCACAATCAGGCGGCAAAATATTTGCATTTGTGTATAATTATAAGGAATATATTACTTTTGGGTTCCTTATAACTGAACGAAAAGTTCAGCAATTTTCAATCAGTTGAACAGTTGAACAACGAAGCTCCTGTCTCTTTCGTTAGCCGTTACATTTTTCCGCATGAGTTTCGGCAGTGTTTTCACTGAGTATTTTATGCACTCATTAGATTGCTCGCAATAAGCGTCTCTCCTTGTAAGTTCGTATCTCCACCGGTGAGATGACCGGCAGCGTCGTCACCATCGTCTCCTCTCTAAGCTCGGCGTGATAGGGGCACACCACAGCCGCTCAAAGAAATTGAAAACATCGCAGCGAGAATAACCACATCGGACGCCTGTGTGGTTCTTACGAGAGGGAAGCGGCGAATGGCCCATCTGACCCCTCACCTCTCTCATTCGTATGCTTCCGGTAAGTTCAGGTTGCACAGGTGTGTTGCACAAGCCTGCCCAGTGGGTATGTCACTCATCTCCGTTTGAAATCCAGCATCGCCAATTAAATTTGTGCTATTTTACCTATATTCACAATCACTGACTCTCTAAGTCACACTTCCAGCCTGCGGTCGACCACGTGAGTTTTATGAAGCTTATGTAACGCTAGAAAAAAAAACATTTTTATTGTTTCATTCGAAGAGTGCCATGTTGGTACGCATTGTCGCGTAGAAAATGCATAAAACCGCACTTGGTGTCAGACTATGCGAATTGTGTATGTGTAAACGCTTTAGAACTGAATGCCTTTACAACCGCCTCAACTGCCATTCATCATCGGCTACAGCATCAACCCAACGTACAGCTGCGTAGGTACACTCCCTGCTTTACAGATGCGCAGCGAGTACTTCGCAAAATGATGATCAATAATGACACATCTATTTGATAGCTTTCACTTTGAGTCGCCTTAGGCGAGCGAATAAAAGAGCCTGTGAGTTCTCAATTCACATTGCCCACTTATTGGTCGTCGCTTGATATTTGGTAATATTTCTTAGAGGTACATGATAATGAACCACCTTATTTGAAGGTCATCAGAAGAGGATGGTTTGGCATCATGATCCATGTTTATCATCGTCATAATCATCTTGTTATCATTATTGCGGTAGTGTTAAAGAGATGGTTTCGAAGAAATTCTGGCATCGGCATCGGTGGCGGCGTGGTCGTGATTGGTTGTGAGCGAAAAATCAACTCGTCCGTTACCGAAAATTCTAGAAATATACACGAAAATAAATAATAAAAATTCTGGCTCCGAGTGAAGATCAAAGCAAAGAAGTTTGCGTAGCAAGCAAGTGGTCTACCACACAACCTAGCTCTCCCTGGGAATGCAGTGATAATATCTTTGATCATTTACAAACACACGCGTCCTGCGTACAGTCTTCACAATACGACGGCGAATATCACAGTAATATTACGTGGTACAAGAGTACATTGCCGTTGGGCGTCTCAACATGTGCTTATCATAGCGGCTTAAACGGGGTTCGTAGTTCAAAGCCGGCCACCCATTACAAATGGCACACATGTTGCTGCACGTATTCCCTTGAGACCAAGGAGTGGGTGCATAGAAGTTCAAAAACATTTGACACGCATGCTTGCTCGGCCAATAAAGCCTGCCACCCATTACACAGAATGCAGCCATTTCTAAAAGCTTCCCTCTATTTCCACTATCTCATTCAACTGCTAAAGGGGAAGCGTACGGTCTCCTAATACATTTTATTATTTTTTATGATCAAATGCTACTTCTTGGTATCCCTACGAGTTGGTATAAACCATGTTAGAGGCATCATAACAGTCACCATTATCATCTTCATTACCATCATCACCGCAGCCACCACTCTCTGCACTCATGCCGCTTTCTCGAGGTGCGAGCGAAAGAGAATGCTGGCGACCTCGACCGGGCTGGAAAACGCAGCCGCCGCTGCTCTGCTTTGGTGTCTCGCCTCAGGCAACAACAGTACGTACACTTCGACCACTTCACATCTTTCTCGGTATACAATTGTCTGGAAGCTATTCGAGGGTCAGCCACAGTGACAACACATAGAAGAGCAAGTATTTAGCTGAGCTGGTCGCAGTTCTGTGCGAGACTAATAAACTTTCCGGAACGTCGAAGTTCTCGTGTAAAAGTAACGAGGGCATAGAGATGGAAAGCCAGCTCATCCTCAACCCTGAAGTGCCACTGGGGCCTGCCAATGGGCCCAACGAGCCGCTGCCCCCCAATCCGCTTGTGAACGCCGACCCCTTAGGCGAATTCATTGACGGCATGTCCGAAAATTCGAAAATGTGGTATCTGTCGAAGGGCGATAGCTACCTTGTGCAGCATTGCATCGGGCGCCTGAGAACTGCGAGCGTCGGCAACGTCCACGGACCTGGACCTTTGACCTGTGGTGACACGCATCTGCCACCCGTCCAGAGGAATACCTGCCACGAGCACTTCAGAACTGTGAGGCGGTCTGCGGACGAAGTGCACGAATATCGAAAGAAGAATAGGATAACGATCGTGAATGGACGTAGGGTCCCAAAGCCACTACTGCACACTTACGAAGCCAACTTCTCCGCATGCCTAGCTGTGGCCCTCGAAGCAAACATCTACCCCTCCTCCCCCACACCCACTCAGGCCCAGTGCTGGCCCATAGCACTAGAGGGCAGAGATCTACTTGGCGTTCTTGGATCTGGAGCTCAAGGCAAGACCCTGGCTTATATCCTCCCAACAATCGTTCACGTCCTACAGCAGCCGCACCAAGAACACCGCCATAGTTTCATGACACTGGTACTGACACCGACACCGGAGGACGCCCGCGAAATTCAGCGAGTGGTGAGTGAATTCGAAACCTACACTCGAGTCCGCGCTAAGTGCGTCTGCTCCGGGGACTCGAAGGACCAACAGCTGAGTGACCTGAGGTACGGCTTTGAAATCTGCGTTGCGACGCCCGGTCGTCTTCACACGTTAATCAAAGAGGCTATGTTGGACATCGGCCGGTGCAGATATCTCGTGCTGGACGGAGCAGACTGCATGGTTGACATGGGCTTCGAGCAGCAACTTATGCGTATCGCTGGGTCCACTAGGCCCGATCGCCAAACCATAATGTGGATGTCCAGAAGACCAAGGCACCTTTATCGGCTTGTGGACGCACTGCTTAAGGAGTACGTTGAAATACACATCGGGATGTGCCCAGCCTCGCCAGACCAAAGCGTTCAACCCGTAGTCCTCGTCACTGCTGAGGCTGAGAAAGAGGCCAAGCTTGTGGGACTACTACAGGACATTCTGGACAGGCAAGCGGAAGCAGCAGCCGGAAAGGTGATTGTGTTTGCCGAAACAAAAAAGCGTGTTGACGACCTGGTGTCCAATCTGCGGCTCTGTAACTGGCCTGTCGTTGGCGTTCATGGCGGGACTTCGGATAGCGAGCGGAATTGGGCGCTGGCAACATTCCGTCTTGGCAAGGCGCGCATCTTGGTGGTGACTGATGCGGCCACGAGACAGCTGTCCTCAAACAGTGTGTGCTTTGTGGTCAACTATGATTACCCGAGCAGCGCTGAGGTGTACTCAAGACGACTTAGTCATGTATCGCACTCAAGAGGCCATGACTATGGCGTGGCGTACACTTTTATTAAGCCGGACGACAGCCGATGCGCCCGACAAATGATCGGTATTATATTCTTCGTGCTTCAAAGGTGAAAATCCCCCCGGAACTCTGCGCTATCGCAAAGGCAACAAGGCCGCGGAACCATGGTGCCAGAAATGTGTGATGGCCTGTGAGCCCATCAATTGTTGCGAATAATACACGCAAAATTATGGTCAGCCACGTTGTCCGTGTATTTTGGCAGCGTAATTTATTGAAGTCAATAGGGATATCTATGCTAGAAGAATTCGATAACTTAACTTAAGTAATGCAAATAAAAGGCTAATTCATCAATAAAAAAATTCAAGCATGCAGCTGTTCTGCAATGACACTTAACTCTTTACTAAATCCCATTGTCCTGAATTCACGGCATACCGAAAAACTTCGAGCAAGCAAGTCACGGAAAACATGCCGCCTTTAATGCTGGTTGTCAAGTATTCAGGAAGAAACTAGCTTCTAGCATTAAAAATATGGCATGGTATTTTGTGCTAGAACCGATTGTTTTGTTTACCTGATATCACAGAGTTCGAAGTAAAAACACCAACTCTCAATTCGTCCTTTCAGGCCTGGGTGACATAATCTCCATCTGCAATAATTTGTATATTTCGTCTGTACACACCCAAGAGGTGGCGAAGGACCTGTTAAAACAGGTCTGAAGTACGTTTTTTTGTTGTTGTTGCACAGCGCTCGCTTATGTGGCGTATCGAGAATTCACGACATGCTCAAAAGTGTGCATTAAAGTTGCATTTTAGCTAGTTTACCTGCGGAATTATTTATAGGAGCTTCCCAGTTGTACTTCGCAGCTATATAAAGCTGGAAAATGAACATTTTTATTTTGTTCATTGCTTTTTTAATTACAGCATTGAAAGGTTGAATACAGGAATGTCATTATTTTGAGATTATTCGTGATCCTCTCTTTCTTTTGCTCAGCGACGAAGAAAGAAAATATTCATTTTTTTTCTTACCAAGAAAGAACTGAAACGTCGCATTGCTTTTATAAATATGCGACGAATTTCTTTGGAAACCAAGTACACTTGTATAGTTTCTAACTATATAAGTTGACGTCTATACACCTGGGCACTCTTATGGTCGCCTCCGTAACTCAGCGTAGACCAAATTTGCTATGGGAGGCTGAAAGGGTTTGACGGATATGGCTATCTGGTCATGACATATGCAACATAAATATTCTGTCGCATACATTGTCAAACCCTTTTCGCTAGACAAGAGTGGCACGTACTCGCATACAACGGGCCATGTTTTGCGGGTACGCGCCGCAGGTGATCGACAGTTTATATATACACCGGAACTGCGAGAACAGGCATTGGTAATTTACATGGGACAGCCTTAGTAATCTACACAATAAATATCAGGATCCAAGCAGGAATTGAGCCCATGCATTCTGCGGGGCAGTCAGGTATTTTGCCGAAGAGCCACGTAATGTCCTCAAACTGCTTTAAAAAAAAGCATAGACAGGCGTAATACCGGTGCAACGTCAATATTGGTTGCAGGGCCGTCTGGTTTTACATCAACGCAATAAACTAATTTCATTCGTACTCCGATGATCCAATATTATGTTTTGTTACCGTGAGTTGTGATTGTAGTGCCGGCTCCGCTTTCATAGTGGTATTTTACTCGTTACACTTGAATGCATAAGACTCGGCAAACTATACCCAAGCTTTACTCGACCCCGGAGCAATAATCTAACGAGTGTTACTTGTGATATTCACATCTTCGCACCGTAAAGTTCCATTCGTTTTCATAATGCCAACGTCCGTATTCTAACGTGAGTGCTGACGTTACGTCACCACATAAGCTACCCTTTGAACGCCACTGTAGCGGCCGTACCTCTTATGCACACGATGCCCACCCAACTATACTACACTTGTTTTCCACGTAACAATATGTAGGGTTTAACGTCCCAAAACTACTGCACTTACAAAAACACGTCGGTGCGCCTCGTAAGGCTCGATTGCAAGCTAGAAAGATATATACCGCAGTATATATATATATATATATATATATATATATATATATATATATATATATATATATATATATATATATATATATATATATATATCCTGACGTGTCAAAACACGAAATTCAAGTATGAGATGTGTCAGAATATAGAATCAGTGATATTGCCAAGGACAGCAATCGCTATTGAATTACGTTATTATAGACCATGACAAAGGGCAGCAGTATCAGTGACAATGACTTGAAAGGTGCCTGTATTTCGCCACATAAAAAATAATACATCATTGTCAGAGGAATTCTTGAATAACACCTCACAGTGTGTGCGAGTCATCTGATATTTTTTTTTCGATTTGCATTCTGTCAAGTTCGTTCCTTTTTTGTGAATTTTTCTTGTGTTGTTTTGTCATTTATTTATTTCCCCTTTTCCTATCAGGAGGTAGCCAGTAGGTCAAACAACTGATTAGATATCTTTATCTCGCCCTACCTTATCTTTCCCTAGTTTATCTTGCCATACCGTATACGTTTGCTTTGGTTTGCTTGCCTTCCCAGCCGCAATTTCATTTTGTTGATTTGATGATTGATATGTGGGGTTTAACGTCGCGAAACCCCCATATGATTATGAGAGACGCCGTAGCGGAGGGCTCCGGAAATTTCGACCTCCTGGGGTTCTTTAGCGTGCACCCAAATCTGAGCACACGGGCCTACAACACAATTTCATTTTGTCTTATTCATTGTTAACTATAAGAAGCTCCAAAAAAAGAAGCCTATCAAAGGCTTGTTAAAAGCACCATTGATAAATATATTTCCAACGTCCGTGGGCATTGCACATACAGCTATCAATGCAACCTTTAAGAAAGGCGCAACTTTCTATCGTTTTTTAGAGGCTCCTCGCAGCATCTAGGTACATCAGGTTGTTCTAGATTTTTCCGGAGTACACCAGACCCTAGGGATGTCAATAAACTACGGCACTCTCGCGGCCCATAGAAAAAGGTACTCAGATCCTGCCCCGTCCCTGCTTTTCGCACATTTCTGTTCCTCACTCGCAAAATATACAACGCAGGGCCCGTAAAGCCAAGCCTTACCCTTTATAGTCTCCACGGACCTACCCCTTATTTTAAACCCACAAAGGTAGGTAAACTTTTGGACTGTGCCTCCCTGCTAAAGGTTTGATAATAGCGCACTGCACCCGTGGGGAATATGCAAGACGACGTCCTGCATAAGGTACAGTGATATTTCACAATAAAGGTTCGGGCAGCCTGGCAGGTTACGCAACCTTGCGCGTGTATTTTGTTGTTTTTTTTTTCAGAGAATACATGAAGTGTCGAAATGTGAGAAACTATTGTTATGAACATTATGTTATACGAGATAAACGAGAATTGATGTTCGGCAGCTGGGACATGGCTACATGCTGCTGGCATTGATAGAAATAGGAGGCATGAACAATCTGCGTCCCCAAAGGTGTGCAGACAAAGCAACTATCGTTTATGGGAGTTACATAATGATCGATGGTGTTGAAACGGGGCAGTACTTCTTAAGACATTATGATACTTGTCTCCCTTGTTCGGTAGACGAGAGACACGTTTAAAGATTAACGAATAGCGATTAACTGCGACCACGGAAGAGATAAAGTTAAGGTGAACGAAGGGGTCGGAATGGATTTTATTTGGCTTTGTTCAATACACAGGCTCGCTTCAGATGACCTTTGTTTAGTCGTTGGGCTGTTTTTTGTCACGGAAAAACCCGTATGACCACGCGCGACAAAGCCAAACGCCTGCAAACATTAAACTCGCAATGATAATGAACGTGTACAGTCTTCTGAGCGTCTTCAAAGCAACTACCAGTGTTCAAAACAGCTGCTTTTTTCTCAGCCAGTACGATAGTTGCATAAATAAGAACAAAGGAACTTTTTTTTTCTTTGATAAACTCTTGCGTAAGGTTCTTGCGTAATCTGTACCTGGCTATGGAAAAGTTTCGAGAAACAAATTTTCTGCCAGTTTTCATCAAAAGCAACATAAAATCTTTTTACACACATAATTTATTAGTCTAGTCACCTGAAAGGGCTGTGCGTTGCAATCACTGCTTCACAGAGCGATGTGGTTACGCAGTAGTTTTTTTCTTGGAGAACCCTACTTTATACTGTTTCGTTGTCACAGATTTTATTGGGTACAAAAACCAGAGGTGGCAGCAATATTTCGTTCTTAGAAAAAAAAGTATGGCGCAATTGTGTTCGCATTAGCCGTTCACGAAAGCGCATAAGCAATTAAGCGTACTCAATTAGTTCCGTCTCACTTCGAGAAACGGTCTTCGCTAACTCTTGGCTGCTTTAATGCGAATTCTTGCACGTTCAACTTTTCAACACTTGTTTCGTAAGCGTGCTCGAGGAGCTGTTTTTATGAGCCTAAGAGCCTATGTTTTTCTTTGCGCTTCCAAGAAAACAAGACTGATGATCGCGAGTTTCACTTAACTCTCAAAAACATTTTGTTTTCCACAAAACCTGTTGTCCGGAAATCCCATTTCTTATTGATGTAGTACAACCTCATGGACTTGCTATACTGATTTGGGAAATTTTATTTAGGAAAGTTGCTTGATGGGGACAACCTTCTTTCTACGCATTAAATTTATTTTATCATACTTGAAAACTTACTTTATTTAAAAGATAAAAATGAAATAACAACGCCTAAATAAAAGAGCTGTAACCAAGATTGTCTGAGTTGTCACGTGGATGTATTGGTGTATATGTGTGTTGTTTTGAGAGTTGCAGATGCTAGGCAACATGCGAAGGCAGCTATCGAGGTCTATCAATTCAAGCTGAACTATCCAGTGAGTGATGCAAACACGACATTACTTTTGTACGATGTTTTTTTTTTCCTCTCACCGCTCTCTAGAATTAGACACAATTTTGCCCATACCTTTTCATCCAGTGTTATACGTCATTAGGCTAGCCGTAGATGTATTTACTTGTACGTATATCTGACCCCCGACTGAAGACCACCGTCTACAATAACATATGTTTACCAGAATAATAATTACTGCTCCAAAATGTCAGTGAAATACAATACTGCCTTAAAGGCAGCGCCAG